CACGTATATTTACGGATAGATCGGCACGCATCCACGGAGGATTGGCCAAAATGATCGGTGAAAGGAGAGAAAGAGAGAGAGAGAGAGAAATCATTTTTTAATTGGCTGTCGAGGCAGCCTCGAAGAGGCGGGAACGCGTGTGCGCGCTTCGAGGAAGTCGTGAGTCGCGATTAAAACATAAAAATAGCTGGCGCGCGCGTATACTATACCGATCGTTAGTCGTTACCGCCCTACACGCAAACCCGGAGCAGCTCCAACTTGGTTGCACGATCCGTATATATATATATATAATACACACATACATTGTGCACACATGTATATATCATTCCGCGGTGCCGCTCCTCGGTGGGTCCTGTCCGCGTCTGCCGATCGTCAGTTCGGTTGTGTCACTCCAGACTGACAGTCGCGATGTCCGCCGCGATCGTCTTCGCGCGAGTATCGACGTGAGAAATTCAAAGATCGGGTAAAGTTTGGAAAAAGCCGATGCGATTCCAATCGAGCGTCAAATCGAATCATTTTCACGTCCATTCGCGATAATCGAGTGAGAAAATAATGTTTGTTTTTTTTCTCACTTGATATTTTTATATTACGTGCGAAAACTCTCGGTTGCAATCCGATCAGTGGCTACAGGAGTCAGCGTACCGTTAAATTTGCAGTTTTTTTTTTTTACACTCCACTGTTGCGAGTAGAGCGTGGTTAAGAGCCGCGTGTGGGATTTAATTAAGAAGCATTGACGAAACACACGAAATAAACCGACGCAACACTTTGCTCGAAGTTGTGTTCATTGTGTTTGTTGTCAGTTTAAATTCTCGTCACACACAGTTGACAGCTCGATTCTCCTATTTGCCAGTGGCGCAGTAAATTTAATAAACGTCCCGCGACACGGAATTCGAAATATGTCTGTTCAATTGGACGTTTGAGAAATGTTCACGCAGATTCGATCGAGACGTTAGTTTCCGGCGGAATTTTCGCTCGGAGATTTTTTCAATATCGATCTAGCGTTCCGGATTGACGTCGCGCGAATATTTCATTTAATCCTCAAAGTGCGCTATTAAATATTCAAACGAACATCCCGTCATTTTTCGCTACATGTTAACAAATACACAAACGCGTGTAAAATTGATTGACTGTTGTCTGCAGTTTAATTTCGTGGGCAAGTGATCTAGCGATTCATTTGCTTCGATTTTTGTTTCGATTGCGCGCAATCGGAAAAAGAAAGAGTCGGTCTTTAATCGGCCGTCAACGTTTGCCCCAGGAATTCGAGAAAGTCGTGAGAAGGTGAATTTTATCCCGGCGTGCACTTCAAGGGTTAATACGTTCACTTTCTCTCGGTTGTGATAGGCGAGTCGGCGATCGGTCTTCGAGTGTCGCGCGATGCTCGTGAAGGATCGACGACGGTTTGATTAAAACAGATTGAACGAGGTGACTGGTATAGAGTCTGCTCCGAATTGAACGACACGCGCTCAATAAAGTCTCGGAAAAGATGGCGTAGATTCACCAGAAGTTTGCGCGCGCGTGATGGCATGTTTAACAAGCCCGTCGTCAGGGATGCTCGTTTTTACGTTCGTATATCTCATCCGGAACCGCGGGACGAGTTTTAATAGTTCGAATCTGTCCGCGCGCGACACTTTTCAGGAAAATAACCGTCACTAACTGTCAAACACACACGCACGCACACACACACACACACGAGTAGATTAATGCTCGTCGTTTTTCGCCGGTGACGTCGCGATCGAGAAGGATAAAATATTTCCTCGGTTCTTTTCCTACACAACACTCGACTTTGTACCTATCGCCGATTTCAACGATAATTTCGCGCGCATTCGGTAAACACCGATTGATTATCTGTTCGATCAATCTCTATGACGTGTAAAAACGATATAAAATATAAATAAAAAACAACTTTCTATTCAATAGTTGATATTGTTTTGTGTTGTTGTGTGTGAAGAGTGCGCCGCGAGATAATTGTTTATTAACTTTTTATTAATTTTTCTTAACATTCGACACTAACGCGGTTTTCAAACCCGAAAAACATCTTCGAATGTTAATACAACACATCGTGAAAGCATCAAATATCAGATTAATTTTTCTTCTTAATGATAATTAGCGCACGCACACACAATCTCTCTCTCTCTTTTTTTACGTAACGACACGAGATGCTGAAAATAAGTCTGACCCCGGAAAACGTACCGTGAGATACAATGTTTCCATCGCAAATGCTAACTATATATAATATCACGCAACGTATCGTCGATTGATTGTCCGAGCTGCACAAGGTTTTTTTTTTTATAGACCGCTAATAAAATTCCGTTGTTATCGGAGACACGTAATCACGTTTGCTTCACCTGTCTTGGAAAAGTGTACGCGCGCGCGCGCGCGCTTAAGCGCAAACTATAAAAGTGCTAATGCATCTTTCGAAGCGATGCAATGTAATTACGATGCGCGCGCGTTGGGTTTTTTTCTACCGAGTTCTGACATCAGTCGTTATTCTCTCAAGAAAGCACAAGTTTTTTTTTCTTTTTTTTTTTTTAGTCTTTCGTTGTTGTTCCAAGAAAACTTCGTGTATCCAGCTTCGTTATGTAAAAGTAACCGAGACGCTTCTAACGTCGGCGTATCACGAAGTAAATTTATCTCGCCGGCACCTGGTGCCTGTCGACGGGACATCTCTTGCTCGGTTTTTTTCTCTTTTGTAACGAAGAGTTTCTTTTGGCTTATCGGAAGAACGTCTCATCTCGGAAAATATGAGTTGAGCGAACTTAATCGAGAAAATTCAGCGTTTCGTGCGACGAAAACCGTCACATATCGATCAGCTGTGCAGATTTGTGTTTTGAACTTTCGCGCGGTGTATCTCCGGTCGCGCTGTATGTTGTTCACCGACGCGGCGGAAAGAGTGACATTTCGCGCGGGACACCGTTGAAAGAAACTCGGGAACACACGAAAGAATACTTGAGCAATAAGACTCGAAGCGAGTCAACCAATCAATCACAGGCAGACGTTCTTTCAAATGTAAGTTACGTTCGAAAGAATGCCGGCCTGTGATTGATTGATTTGCTCAGTGCTTATTGCCTAAGTTTCTTACACTCAAAGAGGGAGAGAAAAAGCGAGAAGAATGGACTCGATACGGGACCTGAAGCGGTTGCTGTACGAGCGCACGGAGACGCTGCGGCGTCGCGAGGAGACCGTTGAGATGCTCGAGAAGGCGCTCGAGGAGCGCGACGCCACGATCTGCTTCCTGCAGAACGAGCTCAGCAAATATCTGCAGATCGTCGACATGAGTCTGGCGTCGTCCTGCGCGAGCAACACCAATCAGCGACTGAAGCGTCAGGCGATATCGGCGGAGCCTCTGAAGAGCGACGTGAAACCGGCGCGGAAGTTCATAAAGTCGGAAAGGTAGATCCGACGGGGTGCTCTTCGGACGTTTTCATTCGCCTTTTTCTGCGAAAATAAATGCCGCGTTTGCATCGAGCGACGTGCAATATTCGTAATCGACGAATAAATAACGATGAGAACTTTCCGTAGTCAAAACGATTCTTAATGATAGAGCAAGCTCGACTAAGATGGGGGGAAAAACGGTAACCACGCATGAGCGATTTCACGATTATAAGGAAATTAATTGTCGATATGTGTTCAGGAAACCGATTTGAACACACGCGGCACACGGAATACAATTCTTTTTCGTATTCAGAGGAAGGAGGTAATTGCGATTCATATATAATATATATATATATATATATTTTTTTTCCAGGTCTCGTGAGCTGATCAAGACTGCCATTCTGGACAATGATTTCATGAAGAATTTAGAACTCACGCAGATCCGGGAGATAGTCGATTGCATGTATCCCGTCACATTTCCGGCTGGCTCGACGATTATCAAGGAGGGCGATGTCGGCTCCATTGTCTTCGTTATGGAAGGTAAGTCCGGGCTTGCTTTGACGTTAACAAGACGTGTGCGATTTCGAACTCGGTTCGATTGATTGAGTATTTATTTAAAACAATAATAAATGCAAAAGTTAAAGTGAAAAAAAATAAAAGAAGGAAGGATTTGTTTTTTTTCTTTTTTTTTTTTTATCTTGCTGCAGACGTTAATTGAAATTTTCACGATAGTAAAGAGAGATATCAACGCGTAATTGGATTTACGTAAACCGCAATTATGTATAACCCGTGCCGGATTTCAATATGATTCTCTTTCTCCCGGAATTCGATTTCTGTTCAGACAAAGCAAACATCGCATTGATGCTATTTCGTAACAAGCGGCGACGCACGTTTTACTTTCACGGAAAACCGCGTTACGCCTCTGTCTTTCTCTTTCTCTCTCTCTTTTTCTCATCAGCTGATCCGATTATTAGTGCCATCACTCATCCGTAAACATCGCAATCACGTAAACGTCAGCGAGCGTTCCGACCACGCGTAAGATCACAAACTTAAAAAAAAAAGTTATCAAACACTGCGAATAAATCGAGAACATTCCGTTGATTTTTTCTCGTTGAAACATTTCGAGCGTTTTTGACGAACCAAAATGACGAATTAAAAAGATATTGTCTATCTCCCTAACAGATAAATAAAAAAAATAAAGATCGAGATGATTAAATGCAAAAATGTTTTTGATGAATTCTTGTTTTGAAATTTACATCAAAACTTTTGCACTCAGTGCAAAAAACGACTTTGAAGAAATTTCAAGCGAAACTTCTCAATGCCTTCTTCTTTCCGTTAACGAAGTTAGTAGGACTCGCGCGCAATTTCCCGGATCTCTCTTTCTCTCTCTCTCTCTCTGTCCCTTCGCGGTCGCGAAAATTACCGGTGCGATATACGTGGGAGCGTTTTGCGGGGGCGAGAGATCGGTCGGGATGAGAACCGCTGTCCTTTCTCTCACGAGTGCATGTCTCTCCTCCTCTGGTGGGGGACTCGCGCCTCCGTTTGAGGGAAGGGAGTTTCTCGTGGTGCTGTTCGCCGCTCACGGGCATACTTTTCACCAGTCGCGAGTATTGTCAGTGAGCGTCAGACGCGACGCGAACGCTCACGAACACGTCGTGTCCTCCTTCGGACAGGACTTTTTTTGTTCCTTGCGCGGCTTTTCACGCGACCTGGACGCGGCCACTGTTCCACTCGCGAATTCAATCCAGGTCGGGACTCGTGACAATCCGCGTCGCGGAAGAAGCCGATTTTGCGGATCGAGAATGAAGTGGTGAAAATTTTAATTTTGTGGTCGCAATCGTCGATTTCGCACGACACCCGACGGAAGTGCATTCTTGCCGAGAAGACTCCTCGGAAGCTACCTCGGAGAAGAAGATTGACAGCTAGCGATAGTAATTTCCCGTCTGACGTTTCGCGGCTCGCCGGTCTGTCAGTGACGCCGGAAGTTGCGAATGAACGATCGTGAATGCGCAAATCCCGACGTCAGTGTCCGTTGATCTCGCGCTTCTTTGATCCCCACGACCGCTCGTTTGTCCGATAATCTACCTTTTGTTTCGTGACGGAATGTGTAAACACATAAATCGAGACGGGACGGGGAATCGTCAACAAGAAACGAGGTTTTGAAAGCTGTGATAATTGATCGCGTGCTCGAAGATAAGTGGAACCTTGTCGTCGATCTTATTCCTGGACCAGCGCCAACCTCGTGCGCGATGTACGTCAGTCCGATCAGTTGAAATTCTACTCTTCCGCATCGATCGTCGTCGTACGCAGTTTAGCTACCGTTTGCATTTTTTTTTGTTTTGCAAAACACGACCGATTTTCGATTTTCTCACGCGCGAGGATCGACAATCGTCGTCGGTCGGGAAACCGGTAGCGATTCTTATCCGGAGAAACGAAGTTGAAGGCTAAAATGCGCCTGGAGGCAGGGAATATCGGCTGCGTCGGTTTTGCCGTGCGAAAGGTACGGCATTGTCGCCGCGCGGCGGTCGGCTTTTGACCTTTGCGCGTGCCGCGTAGAACCGGAAAAAAAAATCTCGAGCGAAAGTCTCGACGGAACCACAGCTGCAGAGCGGAGCCCGGCTGTTCTTTGTCTCGTGCCGTTCGCGCCTCGAGGTCATGAAGGTTCGAAGCTATCCCGGCCGAGCGGTTCTGGAGGACCCGGAACTCCTGCTGGACCCGGACGCGACGCGCGGCCGCGCCATGGAGCTGCTCTATGAGGCCAGCTGGCGGGAATGCGGGGTCAATTGGACCAACGGCGGCGACGGTGGCGTCAGCAAAATCGCCAGCCGACAGCAGGACGACGAGTCCTACACCAGACGGCCCTGCGTGGCCGATATGGTGTCGCAGCTAGAGGCCGAGCTGGAGGATCGACATCCGGACGAGTCAAAGGAGTCGTTGATGAAGAAGGAGATCGCGCGATCTAGCCGCGGATCTAGCAGCACCGACACCACCGACAGCGACTGTTCCGAGCTGAACCAGTCATCGTCCAATAACGCTCAAGGAGGCTTCCTCATTCCGCGGCCGAGACTGATCGTGCCGGTTCACACCTACGCGAGGAGAAGACGCACCGGCGCGCCGCAGCCCGTAAAAAGACGTCAAATGCGCGAAGGTACCGGGATCCGAAGCAATTGATTTTTTTTTTTTATTTTTTTTTTCCTCATAGGAATAACTTGGTTTGGGTTATTTTCTGACTAATTCGAGGAAATCCGGTCTTGATAGAAGCCGGAGCCACTTTCGAAACAGATATAGTTTTAAAACTCTTTGATATTCATGATAAGTTTACTTTCTTCTTATATCATAGAAATTGGTCCTCGTGACAAGAAAGGGGAAAACTGAAAACTTCTTTGTCTTATAAGTGTTACATATTGCAGTGAACCTCCTTAATGGTCCTTCGATCGCAATCGGACACACAGAAGGTATCGCTCGTATTTCTCAATGGAAATTGCGGCGCGTCACCACAAAAGAGGAGAAAGTGCACGATTTCCGAGACACTCTGTACGTGATCGCCGGACATGGCTACGATCGCGTATTCATATGTATATGTATATATATGATACGCGTTTATATAATTATTCCGGGGTACACGAACGTAACACACACACGGGGCGATTCGCCCGCACGCACGCATGCGTGCGCGTCCGCAATTTCGTTTTGAAGAAAACAAAGCTCTTTTTTTCGTACGACGATGTCTCGCGACCTCGATATTTGTATTTTTTAGAGCACGAAACCGGATTATCCCGCGAAATGGGTTCTCGTCTTCGTATGGCTTCGTCGAGAAAAGCGATTTTTATCTCTTATTGCGCACGCGATTGCGTTTCCCCGCGCAGCGATATATGTTTCGTCGTTTTACCGGATATATGTGAAGAGTGATATTTGTTTTTACGCTCGCGATTCGGAACAATCTCCGAATGCAATTGCTTCCGCACGAACAAGGTGTACGAATGTCTGAGAAAGCGCGCGTGTGTGTGCTCGTGAGTTTTACAAATTCCATTAACGCAAACGTACATTTGCAAGTAATTTCTAAATCTCTCTGCTTGCTCGCTCGCTTGTTAGCGTGTGTGCTTTGCAACAATTACTTTCGAAACTTTCTAACGTAATTTCGTATTCACGCACGTAAAAGAAAAAAAAAACTTCGCGCCGAATACCTGTTGCGATCTTTAACGTTCCATATCGTTGTCGATAATACGCGTTCAATAAATTACCGTAACTCGTGGCAATTTTCTCTTTAGAACGCGAGTGCATCTCGCCTCGCGCGTTCACGCGCTGATTTACAGCGCCGCCTTAGAGAAAGTCGTCGCGTGTTGACGCGAATCGGGAAAGCAACACGGCTTGTCATTGTCGCTTCGTTACTCTGCCCGATGCTCGAACGCGCTAAGTCGATACATGTCGCACATTCGCGCGCACACAGACAATTCGTCTCAGCTTTGAAACGCAAACGAGCTCCTAAACGTTGCATTAGTTACACGTGTCGTTTGATACGGACGTCTTTTAAACGATGTGTTTTATTTTATTTTTGTTTCAAAAGATTATAAGATTTTTGTCGTAAAATTTTCGAGTGCTTCTCAAAACCGTTCTCGTGAGACGTGAAAATCCAAATCATGCAGTTGCCGAGTGAAATTCTTATCTTACGCCGCTTTGAAGATGATAAACGGAATATAGGGGATAAAATAAGTGTTTGCTCTTGTCGCATCGCTTGCGTATCTAACGTCGAACAAACATGTCGGAAATTATCCCAAATAGATTTATTCGCAAATTGGTTTTTTTTCCATCGCGAGAACAAAAAGTTCGCCAAAGTGTACAGACGCGATCGAAAGTAAAAACACAATTTCTCATCTTGTCGTCGAGTCCAAATATCATCGAACAAACAAGAAATCCCGACGCAGATTCTAATTAATTACTTTCACTTCGATTTTTTTAATCATCCGAGCGTGCGCGCGCGCGCGCGCAGCGCGAAAAGTAATTTCGTAATTTCTTACACACGGGCACTTTTAGTTTCATTTCTTCAGAATTAATGTCGTAATCAATTACCGCATGGTCGATTGTTTAACGCGATAAACAATCGGGTCCGATTCTGACGATTTCGCGCGCATTATTATTTAACGATGTAACTACTTCACACGCGGCATTTAAAAATTCCGACGACGACGACGACGACGAGGTGATAAAAATTTCCGCCGGATATAATTACGGCTCTCGCGCGCAGGTATTTCTCAATGACGGCCCGTCGAACAAAACTCCCAGGTAAGAGGGACACTATCCCCCTTCTCCTCCTCCCCTTCTCGTTTCTCAGTCAAACGCGCGCGCGGGATTGTTATTACAGACCGCGGTGTTACGTTTGTGAAATCGTTTCGAACGCAATCTTTTTGCTACATCTGTTATTTCACGTCGGAACGCGCGAATACCTCGCTCATTGCTGTTGTAACGTAAGATCGCGTAGATATTGTCGATTTATTTCCGCCGGGGCGTAATCGTGACTCAACCGCAAAACGACCGTACGAATAAATATTATACGTTCCGACGAGTCCTCGACGTTCTAGTCGAGGACTCGCGCGCGACCGTCTCCGCTAATTAAAATTGTTAATAAACCGCAATGAAGCGTGTTCGTTGTTGCGTGTGGGCTGGTCTGCCGGATCGTCGAATGAACCGTCTCGGTCTCTATTTGACTTTTTCCAAGGGCGTCGCACGGCAGCGGAAAGCCGCGATCTGAACAATAATTGATTTTCCTTCACAATTGAATCAGTTAAGAATTTCATATACTCAAGATACGAGTTACCTAACGCAAAATTTATTGTCTCTTAATTAACATCTGATTATCCGGATTTGAAAATCAGAGGTCGAAGAACTCCAACCGCACGATCAGAAGTAACGACTGAATGTTTAAGTTGAAGTCGAGACAGACCGCCGGCCGATTTCCGCAATCGACAATAGTGTGCCAGTTTAACATCCTGTTTTGCGCAAAAACCGTGACTCCGCACTCGGTTTGAAGGCAACAATGAGGTAATTGACAGTCGACCGGTGCTTCGCGCTCGCTCTATGACGTTAACGGCGACCCTCGTGCGTACGGTGACAGGAGACTTTATTATCTCTCTCTCTCTCTCTCTCTCTTTCCGCAGGTGCTAATTTGCAGATCAAACACCGACATGTGAAAAATTCGTTACGTGAACTTCCGTCAAAAAATTTCACTCCAGAATTCAGTGAAAGTGAAAACGTGTCCAATAAAATTACCTCGAAATTATTTTACCGACACATCAACACACGTTAACTTTTAAAAGAGAACGTACCGCGTGTATGCGCACATGATGAGGGTCACGGGTGTATTCAACGGCTCTTCTTCGGTGCGAACGAAGCAAGCGGTACCGGTGCGGTGTACACGCGAACCAGACGAACCTCGGCGAGGATTCCTCCGTTCTTCGCCGTCCCTTTCCCCTCGTTTCGTTCTCCCGAGGTTCGTCAGTGTCAGATATATCGGCTGCGCTTCTTTGTTCCCCTTGCTGAAGGTACCAACGACTGCGAACGTCATGTGCTTGACGGTTCGCGGCTCGAGCTTCGACCGCGATGTAAGAAAATCGATATCTTTCGGAAAAAAAATGCGAAACCTATACATAGAAGCGAGAAGAGCAAGGATTACACGCGCGAATCGAGACGTGCATCTTCTTCTTGCTTTGTGGCGTATCTTGCGGCGAAGTTATAATAATTATTGTAGACAGAAAGTTCTCGTGATAATCTTCCGCGATGTATTGAGTTTTAAATATTCTATTATCGGTGGTCACGCAATTTATACAACATAAGAAATTTTTTTGAAAAATTCTTGAAGAAAGAAAAAACGGTAGCAATTTAATTCGTTTGGAAGAATAAGAGAGACACGAGACACTATCGTATTTAAATTTTCTTACATATTTTTTGCACGTGTCTAAAAACTTGATCAAAGTAAAATCTGACTTTAGTCACGTGTTGTTTCTTCTCTTCTCCCTGTTACGTGCTGTTTTTCCACTCCTTCCTCTCACTATTTTTCAAGTTTGATTTTCATGTTATTTCTGACATCTCTCGTATGTGTATTATATGGTTTGTAAGACGGTCATTTGTTTCATTTCTCTGTGTGTTGGTGTATTGATTACGACGGCAAAGAGCTCGATGGTGACTAATCGCAGTTACAGTTATTCGAGACCGGCGATTCGTTTTTCTTACACACAACGGTACACACACGTGTCAATCGAACACGGGCGCGACGTTGAATATTTGATAAACAACGGACGGTTGCGCATAATCAGGCGTTTCGGCGAAACGATTCGATGATATGTCACAAATATGTCACTTGCGTGTGCAAATCGCAAGAACGCACGTTCTTTTGTGTTTTTGAAATCGTCGCGATTTTATTTCTCGAGAGAGACGGAGAGAGAGAAATAAAATCGTCGAAAGTGATATAGACGCGCACAGCTCTCTCGACTTTTGCGGCTCATAGTTACATAATTAAAACGCCGTGTGAGTATTTCTAAGGACTTAAACGAACAGTCATTCACAGATTCTAAAAAAGAAATACATACAGTCCGCGACTGCGATTTGCATAACTTGACGAGGTCAGCATCTCCGCCTGGAGGTAGATTGCGTTCGGAGTCTCTGCAGGCAGATTTCTATTCTTGGATTCAAAAGGTTCCCTCGTACGCGCGTTATTTGAGAGAATATCAATGCTTTTGTGCAATACAACCGAGCATTAAATGAGAAAAAAAAAAAAGTCACTTGTTGGCTATATTCTCTTTATCCTCTTTGGCCGTCGGCGATGAGATGAAAGATGACGACCTCCGCGCGCTTAGATTGAACGGATAATTAAATTGTTTATTTACAATCTGAAATATATACGAACAATCTTGTAATTTGTTTACGGAATACTGAGATAAAAATATTGTAAAACAATTTTATACGATGACTCGCCAGTTACGCGCGCGATCGATAATATTCATGGCGCGTCATCGAAGTGCGTAATTACGCGCGTTTGTTCTCTTCATTACGGCGTTGCAATTGCGCGCGCTTTTCACACAGCTCGTGCGGCGATGCGCACACGCGCGATCGAAATAATACCAATGTTTTTCCGAGTTTCTCTCATTTTCACGCGAAGAAGAAAGAGTGTGAAAACACAGAAATGCAAATGCAATTAATTATTTGCAATTAAAAGCCTCCGAGACATTCCTGCGACAGCAAGCAGCGAGAGTTAGCAAAGATCGCACATCTTGGAATCTATTGTTCTGAATTTAGGACACGCAGTCGTGTCTGATGCAGAAGCGATTATATCAGCTTTTTCATTACGTCTTTTCATTGCGTATGCAAATTCGCGTAACTCCCCGAGCGCGAATATAAAGTGTCTATCATTGGGAATATTATTTATATATGTAAAGGAGACATGCGCGTTTATTATATACGCGTTAACCTACTTTCGGCAAATATATTTTTCTCTCGGTCTCGCGCGCATTAATTAAATCGCGATTCTTTCTTCTGAAGAAAAATTCTCATTTCGTCTTGGCGAAGATGTGGCAAATAGAACATTAATCAGAGAAAACACGTAGAAAAAAAAAAAAAAAAAAAAAAGAATTAAATCTAGAAAGTGGATACTTGAAAAAATCGATGCATAAAATTAGTTTATTTCAGCGCGAGTAACATCTTGGTCAATAATTGTTTTTACACGCATCGGTTGTCGTACGAACATGTGAATGTTGTTTGGAACACAAATTTGCACACTTGTTGCAACACTTAATCACAAAGAGAGTTCGTAATTGAGGACTCAGATAACTTTCACACGCTGTGTATACAAACGCGTGCGCGATATTGTCTTCGAAAACAAGGGAATCTACGATAGATAGATCTGACGTAGATTTCTCGCTTGCGAAGAGTTTTCTCTAAAGATCCCTCCCGACGTTAGAAGGTCAGCGGCGCATCAAACTGGGGCAAGAGTGCAAACCGGCCCGAACAACGCGCGCGCGCACGCACGCTGGCGAGCGTTGCAATTGTGTGTCGGAAAGTTATGAAACACACGATGTAACAGATATACAAGCAACGCGTTTGTTGTTCCCTCTCGAGTATCTATACGAAACGTATTGCTTTATTTGTTTTGCAGATTGAGTCTCAAAAAACCAAGAAAGAGGAAAAGCCACAGGATCGGCCGATATCTTTCTTCACGCGGACGGAAAAAGAGAAGGTGTTTGTATTTTTTTTTTTTTGTTAGCAACATTCGCATTGATCTCCGATTTCGAATATATCCGATGTCCGATCGTGTTTCGCGACTCGTTCGTCCAATGCGCGCAGATCGCACGCTCGCTTGGCAGCAACATTATCGACGACGAGACGCGCGTCGTCGTTTCAAAAGGAAAACGCCGGCGGATGCGTAAAATCAAATAGGACATCGCTCGCGGCAATAAGAGCGTGTATAAACGGACGCGCGCGCGCGCACTTATTATAGCGCACTCCGGCCGTTTAACTCAATGGTTGGCATGTCGATGGAGAAAGATATGATCCCATCGCGATTCACATTGCTTATGTACGAAACCGGTTCGCGCGGGATCTCTTTGTGTGATTCGTAAGGGCCTTTGTGTGTGTACGTATGTATTGTAATACGCGCGCGAGGAAGTGAAAGCAACTCTCGCGGGACAATACGGTCGTGGACCGTCGTCTATATCCTGTCGCGCTATGTCGAACCCGATCGAGTCTCTCGCGCGCGAACGATGCGACAAGAGAGAGAGAGAGAGAGAGAGAAAAAAAAGGTCTATTTCGATTTGCGGCAGTCTCCATCGATCATCCGTCGGTTCGATATATCTCACATGTCCGTTAAAGCGCGTAATTCTGTCGACGTTTTTATGCGGATTTTTAAATAAAACAAAAAATAATCCAAGATATCAGTCAGTTTCTGATCTTATGTGACATTACCTTGCGTGTCAATTTTATAAAAGAAAAAATTTTTTACTGCAACTTTTTGAATGAACTTTTACGGCGAACTTCACATAAAACGTGTATGACATACAATGTTTGAAAAAATAATATATCAGCGGGGAAATAATGGGGCGACGCGGTGTGCAATTGCGGTTTCCACGACTCGAATACCGTTCGAGGCAACCTTTCCAGGAGTCACCGAGTTCTTCTGACAAATGTCACGAACGAATCGAGCGCGTTGGCGTTTCTTCGATCGAAAGAATGATCGCGATCGGGTTCAGTTTTAAGAAAGAAATGTCACCGAGAGTTGTGTGTGTCTCTAACGACGTCGTAAGAAAAAAAAAAAAAAAATCAGACAATTAACATAATCGAATATGCAGAACGTGTCTTTCGACTTTCGTTGGCGACTGTTTGAGGAAGTCGAACGGTCTACCTAAAATATCTGAAATGTTACACCTGATTATTTTTTCACCAGTCACATCGCACAAACTAGGAGCGACCGGTCGTACATTTTATATCGATCTGTTCCCAATACCCGTTTCAAACGGTCTGTCTTTCCGTTTATTTCTGCATGCTTTAGAGCATTGCCGATTCATATATAAAAGTATAGCGTAACAGTCCTATCGTATTTTCAAGTGACTCGGGTCAATGACATATTACGCGGTCATTGCGATGTGTGTGTGTATGTGTGCGTGTGCGAACGGAGATTAATATCCCCCGATTGAAATTTCTTTTTTTTTTTTTTCAGAGGGTAAAGTCGAGGTGTCGAGGGACGGCAAGTATCTCAGCACTTTGCAGCATGGGAAGGTACTGGGTGAGCTTGCGATTCTTTACAACTGCAAGCGCACGGCAACGATCACCGCCGCGACCGACTGCCATCTCTGGGCCATCGACCGGCAATGCTTCCAAACGATTATGATGAGGACCGGCCTCTCGAGACAGGCGGAATACACGGACTTCTTGAAGAGGTACATACAAACCGATCGTGCGCGTCTGGCGTTAATTTTCTATGCAAACTGTCGATCTCGATACTCCGGAGCAAAGATCGACAGTTCGTAGCGATTCCGAATTCAAATGCGATAAAAAAAAAAAAATTTATAAAAGAAAACAGCGATTTTTTTTTTTAATCTGTAAGAAACGCGCGTTTCCGACGGAAGTTGGAACGCGCGGCATTTATATAACAACGACAAATTCACGTGAATGAATCGTTCACAATCCGGACGATGTTTGGCGTTAGAGAAAAAGATACCACCTGTGCAAACACCACGATACATCAATGTTTCGACGTTCAGAAAATCTCTCGGTCCCTTACGCGACGTCCACGATCGAGATCGAAGATTTTATGGAGTTCGTCGCCAAGAAAAATAAATACGCGTAAAAATAAACTTTCACGATGCGCGACAGTAATGAAATTTCAACGGATAACCTTATTATCCGCGCCTTTAATATTTGAGCAATAAACGAGATCTGTTTGACGTTTCAGCGTACCGATCTTCAAAAATCTGCCCGAGGAGACTCTGATCAAACTTTCGGACGTTTTGGAAGAGGTAAGGTTGTTTGCTTCTTCTCGGCAAAATTTTCTGTATTTTTATGTTTCGCAATGTTTGAGTTTTTAATCAATGTCAATTTTGCGACATCTCAGACATTTTACAATCACGGGGACTATATAATCAGACAAGGAGCGAGAGGTGACACGTTTTTCATTATCAGTAGAGGAGAAGTGCGTGTGACGATAAAGCAACCAGATACGACGGAAGAAAAATACATCAGGACATTGAGAAAAGGTGACTTTTTCGGCGAAAAGGCTTTGCAAGGGTAAGTCCACAATTAATCACTTTTTTGTTCTAGTTTTTCTTATTACAACAAAATAAACACAGTTAAAATTAAAAAAATATACAATTATAAATAAAATACTAAATCTTGTTTAATTAAACTTAATTTGTGCATTAAATACATGCGTGTGTGTTTTAATAGAATATTGAAAAATTTATCTTAAAAATTTTTCACCTCGTTAATCTGATGCTAAAATTATTGCCCGCTGCGAACATACGACAATGTTCTTTATTTTTGTAGAGATGATCTCAGGACCGCTAATATCATCGCTGACGATCCAGAAGGAGTGAGCTGTCTGGTAATAGACCGCGAGACATTTAATCAGTTAATTTCATCCTTGGACGAAATCCGAACGCGATACAGAGACGAGCTGGTAGAGCGTAGGAGGTAAATACATCTCTTGCTAAATTGAGAAGTAGATTTGTATCAGATAAACATTGTATATTCGACATTTGCGCATATATATATATATATATTTATCATTACATATCAAATATGTTCCATGCTTTGCATTAGGATGGGAGAATAAATTGTACATTCCAAGTAAGTGATAAAAACTGATAAAAAAACTGAGATAAATGCGAAAAAGATATAAGCGGCAAAGACACGAGTTTATTTATAACCATTTTTGTTTGTGACCGTTTATTTACAAAGGTTTGTTTCTCTACTTATGATTTATAACCGTTTTTTCTCAACTTCGGTTTAAAACGAGTACAAGAATATTACAATTGTTGAGCGTGTGACAGACTCGTTGGTTTTTTTTTTTTTTAGACTAAACGAGGAATTCCGGGATGTAAGATTGCAAGATCTTCGGACTATCGCGACTCTCGGCGTGGGTGGTTTCGGAAGAGTCGAATTAGTTCAAATTGCCGGAGACAGCACGCGGTCCTTCGCGCTGAAGCAAATGAAGAAGGCGCAGATAGTCGAGACTCGGCAGCAGCAACACATCATGTCGGAGAAGAGGATCATGAGCGAGGCGGATTGCGACTTTGTGGTGAAGCTGTACAAGACCTTCAAGGACAGGAAGTATCTGTACATGCTGATGGAGGCTTGTCTGGGCGGCGAGTTGTGGACCGTTCTCAGGAACAGGGAACACTTCGACGACGCTACCACGCGATTTTACACCGCCTGCGTTGTGGAAGCATTCGATTATCTGCACTCGAGAAATATTATTTATAGAGATCTTAAACCGGAAAATCTGCTGTTAGATAATCAAGGGTGAGAACTGCTGCGTCTGTATGTATTTGAAGACGCACGGAGAGAGACTAGTAGTGCATAAATAATTTATTCTTATTGCGTAAACAATAAGAATTCTTTGTTGTACCTTCTAGATACGTCAAACTCGTGGACTTCGGGTTTGCTAAACGTTTGGATCACGGACGAAAAACGTGGACTTTCTGCGGCACGCCGGAATACGTGGCGCCGGAAGTTATTCTGAACAAGGGTCACGACATAAGCGCCGATTACTGGTCTCTGGGAGTTCTCATGTTCGAGTTGCTCACAGGCACGCCTCCGTTCAATGGCACCGATCCGATGAAAACGTACAATATTATTCTGAAAGGTATAGACGCTATCGACTTTCCCAGATCTATCACACGTAACGCGATGGCGCTCATTAAGAAGCTTTGCAGGTGAGTTGTGTGACAAATGTTTACATATTCGATTTAATATTCACACGCAAATGATAAACATTTATAATACAATTCACTTCTCTATTCACACAGGGACAATCCAGCGGAACGTCTTGGGTATCAAAAAGGCGGTATCAGTGAGATACAGAAACACAAGTAAGTTTTATTTTTCTATTTTTTCGAGAAGTTTCGACGAGAAGAAATATCAGAGCGATGAATATTCACGTAATTTCTTCACAGATGGTTCGATGGTTTTAACTGGGAAGGTTTGAGAACGCGAACGCTGGAACCCCCAATACTGCCAAAAGTCCAAAGCGCTATAGACACTGCGAACTTCGACGCTTATCCGGCGGATACCGATCCGCCGCCGCCCGACGATGTTTCCGGTTGGGACAACGATTTTTGATCGAAAAAACATAGGTTTTTTTTTATATTTAATATTTGCGATTAATCAACTGGCAGGAAAAATAGTCGTAAAAGAACAATAAGATCTCTCGATGATACGAGACAATTGGCGGCACCTGCATTTATTTATATCTTCTCTCATATTACGTGATACACAGATTGCAGTCGCATTTTATCATATTTTATTTACATACATTTTTCATTTATATCTCTTACGAAAACAACGAGAGAGATCGCGCTGTGATAAGAAAAATCATGAACGTTTTTATTTTCGGAACGAACGGAATGATCAAACAAAACTCAAACAAACAAAGGTTTTAGGCAATCTTTTATTTATATTGTATGTCGCGTCTGTCGAGTTTATCTGTTCTAGCGGTAAAAATGTCCTCTCCAGTGTTGTATACATCGTAATAGGATACTTATGCAAGTGTCAAGTGCCATTATTATGCCTCGTAGAGGTGAATCGATACACATCGTATACTTGTGCTCAGAAACGCGGTCACGTCTAAGAAACAGCTCAAGTCCAAGGCCGGTTAGTCTAATCTTACATTAGTGAATGTTTTTTATTTATTGACTTGTGTTGAATTGAAGTCGGTAGCTCTCTATGGTTCTGCAAGACACACATAGAAATCTGCTTGTGTCGACTTGAGTGACTAAATAAAAAGCATCTGAGTTTTAAGACCGACTTAAGTTCGTCTTGTACGGTCCGTAGACCGTCTAAAGATGAACTTGAGACGATCTCAAGCATAAGATTCGACTACAAATTTTGGCCTGAGAGACCTCTTGCCATCCATGTTGTTTAAACTTGTCAAAATGTGCAAAATAGTTCAGTGTGAACTCTGTACTATACTAAAATACTCACTCTAATATAAAAAAAGAAAGGATAGATTACTTGTATGTTATGTACTGTTTTTTCTCTTCAATTTTGATCGATCAGTGACTTATATAATAGTAGATAAAGACAAGCACATATATGCTTTCTGTCTCTTTCGGATCGTTTTCTAAAGTTTTTTTTTTTTTTTTTTATTAGAGTGAGTACTGTACTACAGTATATGAAGTTCATTGACTGCACTTGGTCAATCGTACCTTTTGAACGTTTTTATGACTTCATTGTTGGAATCACTTTAGAGTTTATTATAATTCTATTTTAATTAATTATATACGACCCCTTGTAAATATATAATGAATTATATCTCACAAATTTAAAAAAAAAAGTGCATTGTATTGAAATAATTGAATAAACCATTTTATTAAAATTGTAGGTACACGCAAGGCTGTAAAAGAACCAATTCAATTGACGTTTCCAATATGTAATATATTTTATGGTAAAAAAAAATTTATATATATAATCTAAGGAGAGAGAGAGAAAGAATTAAATATTGATATATTTTCTTGTATATATAATATTTCCAAGAAAACAATCTTGGTTCTTGTAGTCTGACCTTTTTTGGTGTAAATTTTTTCTAGACAGATATTTTCTCTTTTCAAAGATGATCATTCTCTCATATCTCCTATTTCTTCAAAACCTTGCTCGTCGGTATAGTAGCGATAGACTAATCCAACCGAGGAATAGTCAAAGATTTTTATTCCGATTGGTCAGTCAAACGCTACTCGAGTGGACAACCAATTACGTTTCTCTGTTGGAAGACAACAATTGGTCATTTCGTGTACGGGCGCCACGAGGCTGCAACAATTTCGACCAATCCCGTAGCTGACATTTGAATTTAGCGCCACTGTACTTTCTAAAACTTTGATAACCTTCTTCGCTCGAAGAAGAGACCCGGACTCGGACGCTGATCGAAGTGATCTCGTTTGGTTTGTCTCTGATGAGAACACGAAGAGTTTTGTGTGCGAAACGGAACTGGATAGAACGCTCTAAGCTCCGTAAGCTAACTGATAGGATTGTTTTGCCAATATACGTTAAGTTTAATTGAACAACAACGAAACTCACAAATGTGCACACGGCATCAAATTTTGTTCACGTTTAGCTGATTGACTTGAGCGAATCCGCCCTCTGAATCCGTAAGCAATCTCAGGTACGTGGATTTATTGTATTAATCAGAGAATGTAATTTTAAGAGCTGCATACTCGGCAAAAGCGCGCAGTGAAAGCAACACCACGTAATCAGAACATCGACGGATTCTCAGTAATAGATTCTATTGCTCTGTTGTGATTTTGCCAACGACCTTGGAAAGAACAAATTCTGGTAATTCAAAAATTCGCCGATTTTTCGACGACGACGACGACAAACTTTTGTTGTGAAAATTCTTCGGTTTCGGACGGATTTTGATATCGAAGGTTAGGTGAGCCTTTACTTCCCGGCAGACTTTTAGTCGGTTGTTTGTTTTTACTTGTGAAAGTTATCTGTCGGAATGTCGTTGAACCGGTTTATCTCACGTGTGTGTAAAATCGTGACACAGAAAAAAGTCAGTAGGATAATTCGTTTTTATAAATTTTTTTCTATGTAAGATACATTTTTATTTGCGTGTTAATTGAAAACGCAAAAAATTTATTTTTTCTTAATTCTTCAGCGACTGAGTCAGTTGAGACTGATAAAAATAAGTCGATTCAGTAAGATCTCATATCAGTATTTAGTTTCGTAATAGAGATATGAGGTGCCTCGCGCTGTTTGAGCGCAATTTCGTTGCGCGGAGTTGCCTTTTGATAACGATGCGTTAAATCAGCGATAACGAATAAATTTTGCGCCACATCGACCAGACATGTTGCTTATTTATCGAAATAACATCGTTGAACGATTCGATCGAAAACGCTAAAAGAGAAGTTTAATTTTTTGTCGGACAAAACTCGACACGTGATACTTTGATGCCGCGTACGCCAACTAGCGCCAACTGCACGTGCAACAAAAAGTCTAGCGCAAGAAAAACGGCAAGATTCTTGATCCTGCTTGGTTCTGCGTGATGAGGGTGATCCGTGTATACGCGAGCCGGAAAGTATCGTTCGTTCTAACCGAAAACTTTACCGGTCTCGATATCACTCGGTCTGAGTATTGCGCCGAATGAATGACTAATTAGATTCAGTGTGAGATAAAAATGCCACAATTGTGGTTTTTCACGAATTGCCTCACACATGTTTTTCACTGCCACTTTGTCGTCGTTTCATGACCCTTCTACGAAACCACCATTCACATTTGTATATCGTTTTTCACAGACTGAGTTTGTGGTACGTGCATTTTTGTTCATAACCCAACTTTTTCTCACGAGTTCAAAACGTACTTTACGAGATAATATGTTATGAGATAACATGAGATAATATGAGATAATACACGTGTGGAAAACATCTGTTTTTATCGATAATATATAATAGGAGAGATACACATTTATCTTTCGATTAATTAGAGAACTTTTTTTTTTTTTTTTTTTTTACAAAATAGCTCATTGCGCTGAGCATTGAACATGTACGAGATATAACAATTGTTTTTGGTTTTATTTTTAAGGACTGTGGTTTGTTGTTTTTGTACTGAAGAATATTTCACACAAAAATGGATCCAAAGAAACCTACAAAAGGGCGTGGGCAAGGTTCCCTTGTTGAGATGATGAGGAGGCGGCAAGAAGAACAGATCGCTTCTCGTGCACTAGTACATTCGTTGGAAACACCATCGTCTGCGGAACAAACGAGATCACTCGAAGAATCCAATCAAAGTTCCATCAGTACAAATGTGTCTTTGGGTCGTGGACGCGCAAGTTTAGCCTCCAAACTATTAGAAACTTTAGGCAATAGAGATATAGAGCCTGCTGGATTACCACCACCACGTGCAATAAGTCGTGGAAGAGGTTTTGTTCAGCATTTGTCACCACCAGGACAATAGTGAGTGTGCCAAATCTTGATTGTGTTTATGAATTTGCATTTGCAACAAATAAAATTATTCTTTTCAGTGAAGAGGCAGGACCAAGCAGGGATTCTCGCTCGGAATCAAGTGCGCCTATGCACACAGAAATAGAAGGAGTTTTGGGAAAACTCTCGGATATCTCTGTATACGACAATCCTGTTACAGAGGATATCCCAAGTAAAGAAAGCAAGGTCACTGAGCCAGTATGTCGACAAGGAACTAGCGGGCAAAGGTAAGTCAAAATACTTTGTGTGAGTAGAAAAGTTTTTTACAAAGTTAAGTCACTTGTTTGGATACAATTAAATTAAGAACTAGTTCAATTTTCAAAGTGATCTCTGGAATATTTGTCACAAAAATTGGACAGTATAAAAAAAGTCAATTATATGAAAGAACTATTGTTATGTGTATATCAAATGATAGATGTATTATGATGGTAACACTTGGTAAAAATTATTATTAGGATAAACTTGTTCACAAATTACATCGACCTGAAAGCAGATCCTTCAATGCGGTTGTATCAATATGATGTGCAATTTGTGCCAGATATTGCATCGCAACATATACGTCGTAGATTATTAAATCAACATTCAGAAAGCTTAGGAACAACAAAAGTATTCGATGGCTTACAACTTTTCTTACCAATTAAATTGCCACAAGAGGTAAGCCATAATAAAAATAAAAAAAACGTACATACAGCTAATGCAATATGTACAGCTAATGCGAGTAATTGTGAAAACTTTCAGAACATACAATTCAAGTCACTACATCCGGATGGATCGGAAGTAACACTGCAAGTTTTTTACAGAAAAACACAAAAAATGAACGAAAATGTACAGTTTTTCAATATTCTGTTTAATCGTGTTATGCGCGGGCTCGATTTGGTTCGTATAGGTCGACAAAGCTTCAATCCGAGCGGCACACACAAATTCGACAGTCATCGATTAGAAGTGTGGCCCGGTTATGTAACTGCTGTAAATGAGTACGAAGGTGGTTTGAAGTTGTGTATAGATATTAAACACCGAGTATTGCGAACGGAAACTATACGCGATCTGATGTAAGATTTCTCCAAATAAGTCTCTCATTAATAGTTTATTAGTTCGAAGGAGAACTAGGTGATTAACTTTATTTTATGTGCTTCACATCACAGCGCCGAGTTCTGGAATATGGACAAGACTAATTACAGAGAAAGAGCAATGAATGAAATTATTGGCACAAGTGTATTGACTCGATATAACAACAAAACATACCGTATAGATGACATTGCCTGGGATAAATCACCAAAATGTACATTTATGAGAAACGGAGAGGAAATATCCTTAATAGACTATTACAAAGAACAGTGGAAGATAGAGATTTACGATTACAATCAACCTCTTCTGGTACATCGTGAAAACATTAAAACACCAACTGGCGAGGTTCGTAATTGTATGCGTCTTTAATAACATAATTGTGTTTACTGAGAAGTTGTCGCTGTTAAAAGTGATTTTTCAATGTTATAGAAACAGGAAAGATTGACGCTTCTGGTGCCAGAATTTTCATACGCTGCTGGTCTCACAGACAGTATTCGTTCCAATTATAAAATCATGAGAGAATTAAGCACCGTTACGAAAACGTCGCCCAGTTTCCGTCGACAACAAATCCAAAAGTTTATAAAAGAAATTCAGACGAAACCAATTACGCGAGACATTCTCGCGGAATGGGGTCTGCAATTAAACGATGATGTCGTTCGACTTAAAGCGAGACGTCTCGATCCGGAAGAAATTGTGTTCGGCAGGAACAATACGATCAGACTGACACATGACAAACCATCAGATTGGAACAACATCGCAGTGAAATCTCCAGTGTTACGTGCTGTAAGTTATATCGAATAGTCGATCGACAATTGAAGAAAAGACTTAAATCTTACAAGAACATTGGTCGCGTAATTTGATTTTCGATTTCAGATTTCTTTGAACAACTGGCATATAATTTACTGGAAAAGAGATAATAGGAATGTGACCGATTTCGTGAAAATGATAATGAGTATCGTAAGCGCGGTTAAAATACAATTTACTTCTCCCAAAACGATTGAGTTAAACGACGATAAAATCGATACGTACTTACGAGCGATTACGAGTAGCATCGAATCAGGCGTGCAAATGGTAGTGATCGTGTTTTCCACAAATCGCTCAGATCGATATTCGGCGGTAAAGAAGTAAGTTTAGTTTTTATCTTTCTTACAATTTTTAATAATTTTAATGTTCTTATTGCAACGATTAAATAAAAACAAATAAAAAGCTACATTTTTTTGAGTTAAACAAGAAATTAAAAATATTTTATAACATATTGGAAAAGTGTTTGATGTTTTTACATTCTGGAAATTTCGCTGTTATTTATGTATGCTGATAATTTTTAAAAGTAACTTACTCTGAAGAAACAATTTGCGTTGTTGTTTTTATATAGATTGTGCTGCGTAAGAAAAGGCATACCATCCCAAGTGATCATATCGAAAACAATTTCGAATCCAGGAAAGTTGAAAAGTGTGACAGAAAAGATAGCGCTTCAAATGAACTGTAAATTGGGAGGAGCACTTTGGACAGTAAAAATGCCATTGGTATATGGAGAATTTTATATTACCACGTAGCTGGTGTTATATATATACATATATATATATTTTTTTTTTATGCGTTTTTCTAACGACATCGCGCACGCGTTTGCTGTGTTTTTCACTTTTAGTGAGAGCGTTAAAATTGTTTTGCTTTTTTTTATATCACTTTAACTTCTTTTGACCTTACGTTGTGACCGTTAATGTGTTATCGTGTAGTTTTTCGTGTTGTTTGTTTGGTTTTTTCAACAATATTTTTGTGAAATTTTAATTCTCATAAATTTCGTTGCAATAGCGAAACAGCATGATATGCGGTATAGATGTTTATCATTCTGGTACCGGAGGACCGGCAAAAAAGAGCGTTGCCGGATTTGTTGCAAGTATGGACAGCCAGTTGACTAAATGGCACAGCAGAATCTGCATACAGGCCAGTAAGCAGGAGTTAGTGGACATGTTGCAAATGTGTCTCATTTCGTCCCTTAATGCGTACAAAAAGGTAATAAGTGCAATAAAGGAGTTACAACTTGAAAAATGTTTTTAGAATTTCATTAACTTATACGTTATTTGAAATTTGATTGTTAACGCCAGTATAACGGGTGCAATCCGGAACGTATATTTATATTCCGAGATGGAGTGGGCGACGGCGATTTGGATTATGTCGAAAACTACGAAGTGAAGCAATTGAAAGCGACGTTTCACCGTATCGCGCCAGATTATAATCCACAACTTAGCATGATCGTCGTTCAAAAGCGTATCAACACGCGATTCTTCGCTCCTGATAATGTAAGTGTCACGAATCAACATAACAATGTGATATACGTGTCGCGTCGATTAAGATAAGTTGAACAATTAACGTTTTTCGATTCTCAGAAAAAGCAGAACGAGTTGACGAATCCGTCGGCAGGGACCATTGTTGATTCCTGCGTGACGCGACGTAATTATTACGATTTTTTCCTAATACCACAAAATACTCGAGAAGGTACAGTAACACCAACACACTACATCGTTCTCCACGATACATCCAATATGGAACCCGACCACATGCAACGATTGACGTATAAACTGTGCCACTTGTACTACAATTGGCCCGGAACGATACGTGTGCCCGCTCCCTGCCAGTACGCACACAAACTCGTGTCTTTGGTCGGACAGAACATTCAGATCGAACCGCATCATTCTCTTTCGGATCTTTTGTACTACCTGTAATCGGTTCTTTTTTTTTTTTCCCCGATGTGTTAATTCCATCTCTTTACATATCTCTTTTTCTCTCTCTTCTTTACAAGCGGAGACATCTCTATAGATATTTAGTATAGTTAAGTTTACATAGTAGATACTTTGTGTGATGATCACGATGTATCAAATGTTCATATATACACATAGTTATAAGAACTGTTACCAAAGATTATGAAGAAAAAAAAAGAAAAATAGTAGGAGACTATCAAGTATTCCGTTCATGCACTTGGTGTGTCTCCGCGTAGATATTTTTGTTTGTACCTTCACGTAGCTCTTTTGTGACGATTAAGATTACATAATGGTGCGTTTAGACCGGCGTGACTGTTAACGATACAAAAACAAGTGCATATTGCCATCAAGAAACTAATACGCTATTCATCTATTCGTAAAAAAATGTTTACGCGTGATTAGCTCAAATTCGTCGGACAGATCACGCATCATCCGGCGCAGAATTTTTAATAAGATGTGTTTACGAAAATTTGCCGGTCTGAAGGCAGCCCAACGGTTCGAACTTGCATATGTGTTAACTCTAGGAAGTACTCTTTGTATTTAGCCCTCGAGTAATGCTAATGCAAGTTTCTTCCCAACAAGAATAGCATAGAAGAACGGATTTTTTAAGTTATAATTTTGCATATGTAGCTAAAGTGGAACAAACAGAAAGTATTTTTTTCTTTTTCTGCTTTAACCAACAAGAGTTTGAACTTGTTTTGGTTACAAATATTCTAGATTTGCGTCAGTATTTATATATGTATAACGGAATAACTTCAGATGCTCCGTTGAAACAAGTTTAAAAAGCTTTATTTTTTTTACTTTTGTTATCGTAAAAAATATCTTTTGTAACACACAAAAAGAGAGAGAGAGAAAGAGAGAGAAGAGGAGAGAACAACACACATTATATAATTCTTTACTGAATCTTATCAGTACTATGATATAACTTTTTGTTTTAGTTTTTTACAATTTTCATTTTTTTATAATAAAAAGAAACTTAGTCTCTATGTGATTTTCAACTATTCCTATTATTACTATTTTAATGATATAATGCATTTCTTTTTACAATAAAAGTATTTTACCACACTTCACAATTTAACTTCAAAAATTGTTGAGATTGTGAAAATTTTTTACAAAAATTAGTTTTGCATGTAGACAAGAAAGTGTCTATTACAATTAAAGATAGAGAATAAAAGACTAAAAGTTTATAAAGACCTAAGAAAGTAGTAAAGAAAATAATAATAATAATAATAATAACAAAACCAACAACAATACTATATATGAATAGTAAATTCGAAAACTATATGTAATATTTCACGAAGAATATTTCTTAGATCTATAAGGCTGTGGAAGTGCAATTATATACTAAAAAATTATCAAGATACAAAAACAGATTCCACTATATGACAACTGAATTATATCAAGATAACTAACTATATATTTGAGACATCTATGTATATAGACATTCGTTACTATACATACATGTAATAATATTACAACAGTAATTGTAGTTTTTTACGTTTAGTTTTATATATTTTTTATATATAGTTTTTCTATACTTTATATATATATATATACATATATATTTTGTATATATATATATACACATATACATAAAATATATTATCTCTCTCTCCCCTGCCTATAATATTTTTAAGCAGATTTTATTTTTTAACTATGTAGCTTTTAATTATTTTATGTTAAACGTGTATGTGTGTGTGTGTATATATATATATATATATATACATACATACATATATTTAATATATTTATTGAGTTATTATTTCACATAAACTAATTTCCTCATCTGAATAATACTTTATTTGATATCTAATCATTGTTTTTTGTGCTTATTTTAATTATAATTATAGATTGATATGTTTAGAGATGAGGAAATTCCCTGTTATAGAAAAATAGATGTAAGGAAATAACAATCTTGGTTTTTTTTTCTTTTTCTTTTATTGGACATTATAGTCGCGTCTAAAATTAGAATAAAGTCTACGCGCGACTACGCGCGATATTGTTCTTCGTGCTAAATCGTCGTGAGCGAGCTTGGCGACGATTTGACAATTCTTCGATTTCCAAATCGCACGATTGATGAATTCTGACGCTCGCACTTCAATCCGCAGCACGAATAAAAGCGTCGTGCCGCGCGAGTTTCTTAAGCAAAACAAAACAATTATAAATTTAAAATATGACACTTGCCAAAAAAAAAAACAAAAAAAAATATCGCATTTACATGAGAATACTCGAGACTTTGGAATAAAGCAATTTTTTGTCCGAAAGAAGACAAATTTCAACATGACGAAATTTGACACGAGTCTAATGTAATACAGGAGAAAAAAACAAACAAATTATGCGTTTTTATGTTTTCAAATACCCAAAATAATTCACGTTACGACACAACACGCGGTTCGACTCGAAAGAGGGCACGACATATCTCAACGATTGCATAAACGCTCCTCGTATATCGATTTAGAATTGTACGCACTAAAATGTTGAATTGCGCATCGGTATATATGTGCGGTATCTGGCCTTTTTTTTTTCTTTGTTTTTTCTGTGTAGACTTTTTTTAGAGAGCATACTTTGATCGCCTTCGCGAAATCATGCGTACTTGGCGAAAGAGGAGAGGGGGAGGAACACGCAACGCGCGGACGCGTGTATCAACACGTCGCCCCCGTTTTCCCCGAGAACGGTGCATCGACGGGGGAGTAGCGTTAGTAAACATTGCGCTGTCGGATCCGTCTGATGCATTGCGGCTGGTGACATTGAGTCGCGCGTTACGTTTCCGAAGCTCGCGAGCGAGATCCGATCGACCGTATCCGTTGTGAAACCATCTCGTTACAACAACACACGGGATCGTTTCTTTTCGCCACGAGTGTGAGAATTTTTTTTTTATTTTAACTCGAATTCGCGCGCGCAAACTTGGCTCCGGCAATACGTAAATTACACGCTCCGAGCGCGCAAATAACAAACGTTCTTCGATATATTTTTAATCCTGTCGTGTCATTCTTTTTTTGTTCCGTTTTTTTTATTCTCGAGCGCCGTCGCGCGTGGAACTCCTAGACACATCCCCGCAAGGTCCTTCCGCATTGCGGTGTCCGTCCGTTGACACGGTCAACGGACGGATACCGAGTAGGTAGTTGCGCCGTTGCGCCGCACGCGCGTACAGACATCGTCGTCGCGTCGTCGCGCTCGTGTACACGTACATAATAAACCACGTCGCGTAGCGTGCGCGCGCGCGCACACACACACATATACACACGGTCGGGTGCGGAGAATGCACGCGCGCGCGCTTCTCTCCTTCGGCTTCGTATTTACAATCGCGTAGCCGTATCGCGTATGTCGCCGCCATTCGCGCGCTCTCGGCGCCTGCGTACATCTTGTTTACAACTGCGGAGCTCACCGTACACATGACCTTTACAAGATAGACACGATCGTCTGTTAGGCCAGATAGCTAGGCGTGAACCCGCGCAAACAGATCGCGAAAGAAAGAGAGAGAGAGATTTATATATAGGAAAAGAGAGAGGAGCGAAAGAAGAGGAGAGAGAGGAATTTTGCGCGAGTGTTGCGCCGTGTCGTCGTGGTACGTATAAAAATCCGCCTTCTGCCGTGTAACACGCACGGAGACGACGAGCCCGTGAAGTTTTGCGCGAAGAAGTTTGTGTCGCGCCGACGACGACGGCGATACGTGTGCACGGCTCCGCGCGAGCCCGATCACGGTCGAGCGTGTGACGCGGTATTTGTCTCGTGTTCGCGCCGGGATTGGTAGGGGGAAACACGCAAATCCCTGATAAGTGCACGAGAGAGAGACGACGACGACGACAACGGGAGATTTAAGCGCCGCGCGTGAGATGCTCGAGGGAAGAAGGTGGAGAACGATCGGAGGAGGCAGCGCTTTCGTCTTGCGGTTTGCTCCTGTAAATTTTTCGTCGTAACCTGTGTCTATCGGCGTGTCAAAATTCCACCGAGGCGGATCTCTCGTCCACCCCTCCCCACACCCGACTCTGTGACAATACTGTTGGTGCGTCGTTTTATAACACGCGAGCGTAGTGTGCCGTCTCTCTTCCGCTCCCCGGAAAAGACAGGAGGAAGCAAGGAGCAGCTGCGAGGAAGCGGGAAGAGTGTCGCGAAGTAGTCATTCACGTTACGTCGTGTAGCGCGACCAGTGGCGGTGTGCGCGGAATATACATACATATGTATATATAGAAAGAGAAAGAGAGAGAGAAAGAGAGGGAAGAGAAACAGGCGCCCGTTTCGATCTGGAATGCCGCTCGTCGTTCCGCTGCCATGGTTGTTTTGACGTCGTCGGCCGTCGCTATTGCGCATGAAAAAAAATCGCGTTGCCCTTGGCAGTAGCCTATTTACCGAGAGGAGCTCGCCGTCGTCGTCGCCACGCGCGCGCGCGCGTGTGCGCACCGATAAGGAGCGAAATTTCGGTCAGCCGCCCACCTGCGAGGTGTCTCCCCCGTGTCTCGTTCCGTTTGTACAAAAAATAAAAAAAAAAAAAATAAAACGTCACATCCGTCGCGTCCTTTTTCCACGGTGCGGCGTGGAAACAACACGTTTTCCACGAAAGTCGGAACGGGACGCGCGCGCGGGGATCCGAGAGAGAAAGAGAGAGACAGAGAACACGCCTTGCCGTGTGTGCCGTGAATCCCCCTTCCAACCCGTCATCCCTCTCGAACCCCTCTTCTCCTTCCTTCCGAACTGTTACGCGTGTCGCCGTCGCGCGCGTGTTGCGCTCTCTGTCCGACCGTCGTCTATCCGTTTCTCGTATATCCGTGTGTAATCTCTGGATGTGAGCAACTTGTGTATGTGCGCGCGCGCATTCGTGTGTATACACGTCGACGGTGGTGGACCACGCAGTAAATTGCGTTATTCGGAGCGGTAAACAGGTGCACGAAGCTCGTTCGTCCGTTCGTACGTTCGTTCGTTCGGTCGTTTGCTCGTTCGGCCGCACCTCGTGGCGAGTCTTCCGTTCTCGCGCTGAGCCGCGACGATCGTTGTCGCGGCACGGAATTTCACCACGCGGCGGGGCGATGCGCAGTCAGCGGTGGTGGCTCGTCTGTGATTCCCCCATCGTCGGTCCGCGAGATCGGTTAGCGAGCGAAATTTAGACGAAACCGCGTGACAGGTGGATTCGAGGCGTGCCGAGAGACGCGGGGAAAGAGAAAGAGACGGAACGAAGGAGGGAGCGAAGCGAGAGTGAGAAAGTGCCGTCGCGCGACATCTCGGAGTCGTCGGGCGCGTTTCGGCTTGGAATCGGTCGACGTTTGGTTTCTCGACGGGACTGACGAGGGAAAGGGAGAGAAAATCTGGCGGTGAGAAACCGAAGAGTCAGAACGTCGTCGTCGCCGTCGTCGTCATCATCATCATCATCGTCATCAATCAATCCACGTTGCGCGCTCGTCGCCTCGTCGCGTCAGCAATTGTGACACGCCGTTGTGTTGTTATTGTCTCTCCTAACCTAACCGAGAAGGAGGTAGACGTCCGCGCGCGTTCGCGCTCATGTCGACTGCCGCCGTAGGGAGGGCTGGAGCAGTAGAGGCGGCGTAGCGGAGCGACGCACGCCCTCGATCCTCGGCGCAGCTTCTGAGTGCACATGCACCGGTGGTGGTGCACCGATAGTAGTAGTAGTGGTGGTGGTGGTAGTAGTGGTAATAGTGGTGGTGGTGGTGGTGCTTGTGCGCCGCGTCGCCGCTTATTTACGTCTCGTAACGTGGATCCCGCCGCAGCGAAGAAGACGAAGGCCGCTCCCGGTGTCTCGTCGTGACTCCGTTCAATGTTCGGCGTATCCGCGCGCGGAGTGTCGTTGGCCGCGACTCAGGACTACGTGCGGACTACGTGCGCGTATTATTGTTGTCGGATCGTTGACGTTTTATATGGCCGAGGACTCGCTCCACGAGGACGCCTTTCACGGGGGACAGAGACGCTACGTTGCGGATCTCGACGGCAACAACGACGGCGCGTGTTAGAACGCAGTTCGCTGACACATTGACGGCCCCGTTGTGTTGTTATGCCCGCGAAAGTGCGCAGATCGCGTAGCGATCGAGCGTCAATCGGCAGGCGGTGAGAAAAAGACGGAGAGATACAGAGAGAAGAAGAAAGAGAGAAAGAGAGAGAGAGAGAGAGACGTTGGCGCGCGAATCTATCTCGGAATCCAGCCTGCGAGTGTGCGGGAATGACGTTCTTCGCGACGACGAACTCGGTCTTTTGCTGAGAACGAGAGAACGTCTCGCGGAAGGAAGACACAAGGCGAAAGAGAGAGAGAGAGAGAGAGAGAGAGAGAGAGAACAAACTTGAGGATACAACAGGAATATCATGTGAATGATAGCAGGTGCGAGGGACCGATACGCATACGCGAAAGAGCTCGCGCGCGATTGCGTTAGAAATTATCGTCGTTACTGTTGTGACTTAACGGCCGCCAAGATTATCATCCCAACGATGTCCTCGGGCAGGGGCCCGGCGTCGCCCTCGGGCGGGCCCGTAGTCCGCTGCGGCCACCTGAAGAAGCTGAAGACGATGAAGAAGAAGTACTTCGTGCTGCGAGGCGAGGCGCCCGACTGCCCCGCCTGCCTCGAGTATTACGACAGCAAGAAGAAGTTCGAGAACCGACAGCCGCCCAAGCGCAGCATATTGCTGCACAGCTGCTTCAACATCAACAAACGCGGCGACACCAAGCACAAGCACGTGATCGCCCTCTACACGAAGGACGAGTGTTTCTGCCTGATCCTCGACAACGAGAAGGAGCTGGACGAGTGGCTGAAGGCGATGCTGAGGCTGCAGAGCGGGGACATGCCCGACGGAGAACAACCGCGGCCTACATTCGGTAAAATCGCGTCTCGAACACATGCACACACATACACGCATACACGCCGCTTTTTTCAAATTCCCCGCCGCGAGCGAGCGAAGCACTTTAAAAGCACTCTCGGCGCGCGCCATATCGGCGTATTCTCGCCCCCAATATTTTTGTCACCGCTCGTGTGTCGCGGATTTCGGTTTGATCTTTGTTCGCGCGAAATAATCTGGAAAATTTCTGTCGTCCTCTTCCGCGCGAATTTTTTTGTTCGCGAAACGAATTAACCTAAAACAACGTCACATCGAATGTGTGACGATAAACGTGCAATCGATGTAACAAAAAATAAGGAGCGTGATATACACGGTTTTTCCGTGTGAATTATATTGTTTATTATTGTGATATTTACGAGCGCGACGTTTCTCGCTCGATTTTCCTCGCGGATGATAATCGAGTTTCGATGTTGACAACGGGAGAGAGAGAGAGAGAGAGATAGATAGAGATTATTGCGCATCTCTACGTATCGACTGGCGGAGAGACCCGCAAACATGCGTCACCACTCGCACGTGTGCGTTTGTTTACATCCGAGTGGAATGAATCGACGACTTTAAATCATTATTTCAACGATTTTGTTTTTGTTTTTTTTTGTTTTTTCCATTCTTTTTGTTTTCACACTTCGACCGGACACGAGTCGGACGAGACAAATTGGCTTTGGACCGTTAGTTTCGGTCGAATATGGTCTCCGTTCCGACTTCGTAGCCGAGGATAAAAATCGCGCGTCCGACCGGAGTGGAGGGACTCTTTTAAAGACCGTCCGAATTCGCTCGAGATCTCGAAAACGGAGCAGCAAGGGGGTTGGAGAAGTGTGTTTTCCACCGACCGTGTATATATTTGTTTGCGAGTTCTACATTTTGAACGAATTACGCAGCCTTGAAATAAAAATAACATTGGCAATTGTTTGCGCGCGTGTGTGCTCTTCGCGGGAACGAAAACAATATTGACGTTCAAATAAAAACAACAGAGTATCTTTGTTTCAAAATTGCGCGTTGATTTGTGCCAATCGCATTATTTCTGTAGAGAGACAAAAATTATTCGCCTCGATTATCGGCCTCGATTGTCTCCGTCTAATTGCACGCGCGGATTCGTCAAAATCCCGATCTAACGAATTTGTTTCGTTTTATGATCGCGAAGTGTCGAAGCGCGAAGTTGATTGTGAATTGTTTTCTTTTTTGATGATGGTTTTTGTTTTTGGTTTGTTTTCAGAACACGTGTGGCAAGTTACAATGCAGAGAAAAGGTCTGGGGTCACGGAGGAACATTCACGGACCTTACAGATTATGCCTCACCGATCAAACTTTGAGTTTCGTGAAGATAGGAGCGCAAGATAACACCGACTCGATCGAGATTTCCGTAAGAAAACTTTTAACGACGACAAATATCGTCTCTTCCCTCCCTCCCCCCAAAAAAACCATCCACCCGTTATTGTTGTATTAGAAATGTAAACATTTACTCGGTTCCCATGACCTCGTACGCATATATGTATATTTTGTTTCTACGAAGTTTACTACATGTAATGATAACGAACATAATGCAAAAGGTGACGAAAATTTCACCGTCTTTATTCAAGGCGGTGTGATATGCATTTAGATGAGTCAGTATTTTTTTTCCTTCTTTCCTCCTGACGTAGCTAGATTCGTAGTGTAGATAAGACGTTTTTTTGTTTAGACTAAGCCCATAGAGAAATACACAATGACACGCGATGAAAATAATTGCACAACATCCCACAATAGTTGACCGCAACACGTTCGATATAAATTCGTTACAATAGAAGGATCGCGACAAAAAGATGCTTTAGAAATTAAAAGAGATTTATGTTAATTGAATTTTAATAATGCAAAGAATTTTCTTTCTTTTTTTTTTTTTTTTTAATCTCGCACAGCTAAATTACATCAGACGATGTGGATTCGCGAACAACATATTCTACATAGAGGTCGGCCGGTCCGCCGTAACTGGCGATGGCGAGTTCTGGATGGCGGTCGAAGATAACAATATCGCGCTGAACATACACGACGTAATCACGACCGCGATGAGGAATTCGAAGAGCAACAAGGACGAGGTGGGACCTCGTCAGAGAATGCGCAGCTCGTCCGCCAATGAAGCCAGCAAACCCATATCCGTTCTTCAGCGACGGCACACCGGCCAGAAGCTTCATAGTTTCTCGCCCTTAGGTGAGCCGGCGACTTTGCCACAGAGCTTCACACTTGTTTATTCGATATGATTTTACACGCCAGAAGATGCGGATTTTTGTTTTTATTGTTTCAGTGTGTTTTATATCGGAAGAAAAAAATGATTTTTTTCTCACGTACACAGTTACAAGCGGTTTGATTATTACATTTGTAAAATTGTCCAGTGTTAAATTGTCTGTCCGAGAGTACTGCGTCCTTTTTTTTTTTTTTAATTGTTTTCTTTTGTGACTTCTTTTGCTTGAATACGTCAGTTCACGTATTGTTTCCTGTTTACGTAAATTCCTCGATATCTCCAAACTGTGAATTACGTTTTTTTTTTTCGAGAGACGTACGTCTTTACCTTTTGATCCTAATTAGATCGTAATTACACACACACCACATTAAGTTGTAATTTATCTTAAGTGAATTACTATAGGTGATAGGTACGAACACACATAAATAGCTTAGCTTGTCGAGTAACACAAGTGGGTTTACGGGGTTTACAGAGGAACAGAGGACACACAAGGAGCAAGCGGAAGCATTGCAGGAACAGACTGCTACCTCCTATGTCCCCATACAATCTCGGAGTACCTCCTCCACCAATCAAACAGTCACGGGTCTGTTCTCTGTCATAATTGTTATTTGCTTTTATTCTTTTTCGCGTTTTTTGTGGTTTTCGAATGGCAAAAAAAAAAGTGACAACGGATAAAAACGAGGGCAGTGTGTGAACATATCGTTTTTCTTTTATTCTTTTGTTTTTTTTTATTTTTTTTATTTTTTTCTCAGAGATTTTATTTCTACATTGAGTTCAGAATCTTCGCTCGTAGGTATTTGGTCATTGCATTTCGGTCTCGATAACCCTGAGATATCAAACGTTGAACTTGTGTATATCATACATACATATATACATAGTATCTGTACATATATATATATATCATATGTTGTATGTGCATTAACATAATGTGGTAACCACTGTGGTACTTACACACACGCATTGATGTAAATTTACCGTAATTGAGATCAATGGCAACATATTACTCAATTAATCGCGCGATGTGAGAGAGACATGTAATTAACAAGGTATAAAAAAGGCGAAATTGATATGAATGCAATGACCAATCATGTCAAGAAGGAAAGTCTTTTGGTCGACCTTGCAGTAATTACATTTATCGTTTTTTTTTTTCTTATGGGTGCTAGCTTCATGATATTTTGTAAATAGCATGACTAATTCGCGTAATTAAGTAAGTTATAGAAAATCTGTAAATTATATATTTGTGTTAGGTTTCTGTATCAGTGTTACACATCTTGTAAAAATGATGACGAAAGTTGAGAAGCTAAATTTGTACGTTTTTTTTTTGTTTTTTGTTTTTTAATCTTGATGTTCGTGCGACTGGTGTACGTTTTGTTGTGACTATCGCGTTTAAAGGAACCTAATCGAAATAATACGGATAGTGTTGTCGAGAGCGCGCTTTTGAATTCACACGTCGAACTTATCAGTTAACGCAACGCAAAAACATATTCGACGGTCGCGCGGTCATACGTAAAATTAACAACACGACCAGTACGAACGGCACTATCCGTGCTCTATCTGTATCCAAAAGTATTCGGTACGGGATGCACGTGTTTTCACGACAAAAGGAGTTGTGCGATAGTGAGAGGTGTGTGGTTTGCAGCCGTTGCTGGTACCGGGGCTTGGACTACTGGGATTGCCAACACGACTAATGCCAACAGTGCCGGTACCGCTAGACGTCGTCATTCGGTAGCGAGTCATCCTCATTCCGTCAATAATTCCCAATCCACTCATGTCACAACAACAAATACTACGACCATACCCGCCACTACTACCACCACCACCACCACCAATACCACCAATACCACTACCACCACCACCACCACCACCACTACCATTACCGCAACCACCACCACCATCACCAACACCATCACCGCGACTGTCACCGCGACGATCACCACGACTACAACCAATGCGACAGTATCCCATCAGAGAACCCTATCGCTGCCCTTAGCCGTCGTTATTATCAATCAAACGCAACCGTCTAAACGATCCGTTTTACGGTGTATGTATTTTGTTCCGTCATATTTGTTTAATCGAATCCGAATCTTTGTTCTCATCCCCTCAATGTTTCTTGCTTGTTGAACGCTCTTTTCTCCATCTCGCATTCGATCCTGTCCTCCTATATTATAAATATCCAAAGTGTACGAGGCCCGTTCGATCAGTGTTTACAAATTGTTTAACGTAAGACCGCAGTAATTACGAGTGCAAAGTTCTGCTGGCATGCTATTAAAAGTGCACGATGTATTATATTATGAATTGAGCGCTTCGGTTGTACATATATATATATATATCTTCTATTCGTTATATGGGATATGAAGATGTAAAGAATGGATACATAAATATATATATTTCTTCTGGATGTTCTCTCCACATGTTAATATATACTTGGATAATATAATCACTGTAAACTGGTTCTTACATAATCGTCATTGCTTTACTTATTTTCAATCTGAACGCTCTGCGTATGTGCAGAATAATTAATGGGGTGATTGTCCATTTCATTTTCTGTGCTTGAGAGAATACGTTGTTTAACAATAAACAATTCTCTCTCTCTATCTTTTTCTCTCTCTCGATATGTATATTACATGATAATAACAGTTATTACACAACACACACTAACGCACAATTAACTGCTGCTATGCTGGGACGATGGAACTGGCTTGACTCTACCTGTATGCGACAAACTATCCGTTACGAGAAAATCTCTGACAAATGCGTTTGCAGGTGCTACTGGACGCGATCGATGCGACAGTTTGCCGTCGAGGGCACGTACCACAAGCGAGGGACAACCGATGATGGTGTTGAACCATCCCAGAGGGGCCAACGTCTTGACCCACGTGCCGCGACCGCATTCCATGTGTGGACGAGGCCTCTCGTATTCCCCGCCGGTCGCGTCGATGCCGATCAGTCCCGCTTCCGACGTCTGCTCGTCGGACTCGGCCGGTTCGTCACCTTCGATGGACGACTGCGGCGAGAATATTATGGAGGAAGGTCCTGTCTCGAGATACGGCCACTCGTTGACTCCGGACGAGCCTATGATATTAGACAAGAAGGGTGACGATTACGCCTTGTGGTCAACGTCGCATCATACGCATCTCAAATACTCGCCAAACTTCAAGTCTCATTCGCCCTCTCAGGTGAATATTTTAGCGATTGGTTTTTTTTAAATGTTTCTCAAATACAAATGGCAAATCAATTTGTCTTTTTGGTCACAGAGTTCCTATCAGAGTGAGATGTACAGTCCGTGCGGCTCGAGTCCCAGCCGAGGTGGCGCGTACATACCCATGAGCCCAGCGACGACAGCTCATTCACATTCGCGCGGATCGTCCCTCGTGGAGGAGAGTGCTGTGGATGGTTGGCGTCAGAAACCACTGGACGACGGTTATGTCGATATGGATCCTGTAAATAGTCACAACGGCCACTTTCCAGACGACATGTCTCAGAACGACGGCAGCAGTTGTTCTGTAACGTCCGGTACGCCCAGTACAGATTTGCGGTTTTCTGAATACCACTTAGACAAGGTGACGAGCTTCCTAACACCCGGAGAGGATCTCCAAGCCTCCAGACCGACCAGAGCTTACTCCGTCGGGTCGAGACCGGAACAGGCGAACAGGCATCGTAAAAATAGGTACGAGTTTGAAATTCCACGCTCAGCAAAGTGTTGTCAAATCACTCTGACGCAAATATATATTATATTTTTATGTTGCTCTTTGCGCACACAGGTTGGATATCACTCCACAGGATGCCAATAGAGTGCGAGCGTTTTCCGTAGGTAGTCGTTCCAAAAGACCCGAGATCGGTAGGTTAGCTAACGTGGCCACCGTGCCACTGCCGGCCGGTTCGGACTCGAACTCGAAGTCAAGCTCCGCGCCGTTGCTATCGAGTTCCTGGGGACACAATTCGGGCTGCTCCGGAGCGTCCGATCGTATGGAGGATCTCATGGAATTGGATTTCACGAGACCCAGTGTTTCGACCGCTCACTCCTCGCCACCGACGTCCTGTTCCCAGCTGCAGTCGCAACCGCAATTGTACTCTACTGCCACCGACACTAGTTCCTACGTCGACATGTCGCCCGGACAAGCTCCCATATCGACCACTGCCCCATACGTCGATATGAGTGGCATAAATAAGGTGTTACATCGATGTTTAATCTACCGGTAAAATTTATATTCTATTTTATCGTGAAACAATAAACAAAATTTGTGTTTTCTTTCTCGTGCAGATTAATCGCAATAATAATAACAATACAATCACTGCCAACCACAACCATAGCCACATGCATATATCATCGTTACCTTTTACCCACAAATCTGTAATCACGACCCTGAAACCGGTGGAGGAAGCGGAAGGGCCTTACTTGAAGATGGATGGCGTGAAGGAGGATTGGTCGCGTTTGGAAACAAGTCCGAAACAAGTGTCGTCGCCTATGCAAGAGGATACTTACCAAACTAATGGACCGCCAGGTAAGTCGAATGTGATTTTTCTGCAAATTCGCGCATGTGTGTGTGTACGTATTGCAAAATAATATTCATTGTAATAGATCATATAATAATTCCAAGAAAACAATGAATATTCAGGTAGTACAAGAACAGCGCCGATGGATCTTCCGCAGCCGAGGCGTCCTCCGGAGGGATACGTAGAGATGTCTTTTAAAACGCGACCGTCTTTAGATCAGGACTACATAAACATGAACATGGGGAACAATCGCAACAACCGCAAGACACACACGGCCAGCCGCAAGGAGAAATCGCGATCGCAACCGATCGCGATTCAAGCGGGCAGCAAGCCGTCTAATAAAACTCCCAGTTTCCTACCTTTGAACGGCAGTCCGACGTCCGAGAGTCTGGCAAGCACACCCGCTTCTCCGCCGCGAGCAACGCTCACGGGCTCCTCGTCCACTATTTTTCCTTTTTCCCTGAACAGTCCTCAGTCACCTGTAAAGCCTTTTACAAAGAAAAACGACAATTTTTCTATGACAGACGCACCGAAACAGGACGAGGACAGTGAATACGCGATCATGGAACCCGTGAATAAGGTCTTCACATCGTGTTCCACCCTGTCGACGGAGACGAAACCGTCGTCGAAGATGAACAACGAGAAGCCGCCTAGTCCTGTAGAGAAAACGACCACCGTTCGGATTATATCGAAATCCACGTCGTCGTCGCAAGAACACAACAAGTCGGTCAACCTAATAACCAAGAAACTCACGGATCTAACGGTGTCGAAACCGCGCCTCGTCACGGCCTCGCCGACGAACACCAGTCCTACTCCGGGTTTCAAACCGTCGAGCGTACAACAGTCGAAGCCATCCTCCCCGAAGTTCATCGACGAAACTCCCACGCCGACGCCCACGCCCACACCCACGCCGAGTCCGTTGGACTCCGAGGGCTACGAGAAGTTGCAACCGGGCGCGTCAATTCTACATTACGCTAGTCTCGATCTACCGGAATGCGGCAATACAGCGCCTGTGTCGCCGGCGTCCACGCAGGACAACTTCACCTACGCTGAGATCGACTTCGCGAAACTCAAGCAGAACTAAACAAAATTAATAATAATAATAATAATAATAATATTAATATTAATAAAATGCGTAGCTCCGAATGCGCATAACTTCAGCCGCTTCCGTGTGTAGCGCGCGCGCGAGAGGAAGAGAGAAAGAAGAAGAAATTGGTGCACAAGCGCGAGCGCGAGGTGGCACGGCTAAAACGCCTCTTGTGTTCCCCATGATAGCAACGAGTAGGCAGGGTATATATCGATCGTTCTGACATTGGCTCGGCTGGTCTAAAACCGAAAACAGAGCGCCGGGTATATATAAGAACTGTTATATGTAAATATAATTCATAATTCTTTATTTTTCTCTGCCTTTCGACGGCAATTACATTAATCCGCCAATCTCTTCCTAGTGTACGGATTGGTAGCCTATTTTAAATCGTTTGAGAAAAGAAAAACAGAAACAAATTAAGCGTCGTTGGTACCTATAGTTCTGGTTGTACTGCATTAATATCGTATTTTATTGGAATGATGTGAAGTTTTTTTTAGCATATGTAGGCGAGCATATATTTTTGTCGCCGATTCTTAAGAGAATGATCAATTTGTTCTTGCGTATATAATAACTCTCTAGTTAACATTGAACAGTCGATAAGATTCAGCGAGAAAAAGCAAACCGCGAAAATGTTGCGAAAAATGAAATTTTTTATATCGCGCGCGCGAGATTGCAATATACGATTTTAAAATACACACAAAAAATAAGCCAAACGATTAAAACAGCGATTTAAAAATGCACGTTTTATAAATAAAACATTTCGTTTATTTAAAAAAAAAACAAAAAGACATTTGATTACATATTATCGTACAAATCTTTCGTAATCATCTTCAGAATCACTGCGATATTTGGTTTGAGATCGTGTCATCCTGAATGACATACAGCCTATAAGAATAATAATATAAAGTTGACTGTTACTGTATAAATACGATACACAAAATATTACATATAATAATTAAATTCTATATATATACATATATATAAGCGTGTGAAACAAAATAGCGGGTGACACCTCGAATAAGATGTTACGATAACTCTGAAGCGATTACGTAAGATTGACGCAACATCTAATTTTAACCGTGTGTACAAAACCAGCATTTAAGAAATTCTGATGATGAGTTTGTGTGACAGATGTGCATTTCTTCGCCTAAAATCTCGCCTAAGATCGCGCGAAGTTCTTGTCCCTTTAGGATGTTACAGATTATTATCGTTGTTTGCTTTTTCTGCTGCTGATTCTCCTTTCTTTCCGCTTCCGAAGTCAATCAAAAAACTTCATTTTCGACTCTCTGCGTCTCGTTCCCGTGAATTCTGTTAAAACCTCACATCGGTGGTTTTTTTTTTTTTTTTTGTGGCATCACAACCAATCGATGAAGTTTTTCCGTTTGAGTAAAAACCGACACGTTTGTATTAATTGATCGCAGTAGAGACGAACTTGCTCGATATATTGTCTTAATTAAGGAGAGAGAGAGAACAGCTTGTGTGTATAAAGAAAATGTGTATGTAAACACAATAATGTAACTTTTTAAATTTTAATTTTGTTGGATTTGCGCGTGTTGCCTATATCAAAATTCATTTTGTTTTGTATTATATATTTCAGATGCTGACAAGCCAAATAACTAAGTATCGATTCTTTTTGCAAGATATTATACATATATATCGTGCCAGGTTTAACCCAATTGTAATTTATATAATTATCTGATAGAGTATGACAAAAAAGACGAAATTTTATTTATATCGTTTTTGATAGCGGTGTTTGTGTGAGTAACGTAAATTCTATTGCTTTTTTTCCTCGTACGTGTAAAAAAAAAACAAAAAAAAAAAACGTTAATAATTGTATCCTTTTATTTGTGCGTCATAAATTCTACTATCGAATCTTTATATATTGATTGAGGATCGATTGGCACATCATTGTTTGTGTACAGAAAGTAACATGTTATTATTACGTTTTTACACGTTCGCGTAAAGCTCTCGCTTTGTATCTTCTATGATAATCGAATCATCGAATTTGAATTTATAATTGTTTTTTATTCTTTGAAAGCAAGTTTTTAACGCGTCGTACGTATAAAGTTTCTCGCGCTTTTTATGTGTTATGATATATATATATATATACATATTGGTTTCTATGTTTTAGATGTTTTATCGTTACGTATCGAAAAATTTGAAAACGCGTTAAACGAGGGATCTTTTCCCTCCCCCCTCCCTCGAGTAACGGAATTTGCGAGGTCTCTAGACTTAAGAAATTGTGGATTTGCAATTTTTATATAATTCTTCGAAGAAAAAAACAAAACAATTGTTCTAAGCCTAATTATTGTTACGCGGGAAATGCATATACAACCGATGACGTACACTCGTCGGCTTTTTGCGATAATAATAATAATAATAATAATATCAGTAATAATAATATTAATAATAATGATAACAATAATTTTCACGCCGATCCTGCTTTTAGACGTGGCGATTAAAAACCCGTTGGTGTATCGATGCTGGTTTAAAAAGACAATTTTTCTCAACGAAACCGAAAATATATTATACGAGTGGTGTGTTTGTAATAACACAGTACACTACCAGAAACATAAGTACTGAAAGAGAAACTTTTGGACGGAGTTTTTTGTCTTCGTGTAACAAAAAATTAAAAAAAATGTGCGAAAAACAAAAAAACCGCGGACGAGATTCCGCGCGCGGCTCGAATCGATCGACGAGATTTATATCGTGTACGTACATAATACGCGTATTAATATGCGTATTATTTGTCGTTTCCTCGTTTTCGAACCGCGCCGAATTCCGTCCGGGATCCGCTATAAAACTATTTTCTCGCGATGGGGAATGTTATTATCCGCCAATGTTAGATCGACAACATCTCAATAATAGAATTCGTATTTGCAGACAAAAATAGATGTTCCGTACAATGCAGTATATACATGTGTTATCACGCTTTTCATATAAATTATGAAGTTGTCGAAGTGTCTCGAAAGGGCTGATTCGACTGCGTACACGCACACAGATAAACACACATACACACACACACAGGTACAATTACATAAAACACAATCGCATACGCGTATACATATATGCATATACGTTCTGCAGGATATTCTGTGAAAAACGGTACAACCGGCGAACGTGCCGGGGGAAATGCGGTACACACACATACACAGAGAGAAAGAGAGAGAAGCCGATCTAATGGGAATTAAAATAAAAGAGAAAAAAAGAAAAAAAAGATAAAGACGCCTAATATAATGACGAGCCAACTCTCTTTATCGGATAGTTACGGCTTGTATATCTCTTGTTTGAGCTAAATATAACGTTCTTTGCATGTATCTTATTTAAATTGCGGTTGTATCGTAACGTACAGGGTGTCTTGTATATATACATGCATATCCGACAAAAATGTTTTTGCGTGTTGAATTTTTGCGTGTGCGCGTGAGAGTGTTGGACGCGTGTGTTAATGCGTGCATCCGGAAATGTACGTGTCGGACGTTCGTGTATATATACATATATGTACACACACATATATATGTTAAAAATATATATATATATTAAGTATAATAATATTAATAATTAATAAACTCGCAATATATCCCGTTGTCTTATTTCTGAACACCCGTGTATCTTTAGAGAAACATCTCGCAAACATCAATTAAGAACTGTCGGTACATTTTTGAGTGCACTTGGTACTATTTAGTTGTTCGCGAATATATGTATAGATATGTTTTTTTTTTTTCATTTTGAATTTATGTAAGCAAGACGAAAGATATTGTGCGAGTAATATATTAACTTTTCAGTGCCAGACAAAAAATGACATACGAGTTGTCCTGACTAGGTCTGTGAGATCCACGCGATTTTAAGTTTGAATATCCTATATTAAAAAAGGCATTCGGACCGAGAAGTGCGCGTTGCCTCTTTTCCGCGTTGCCGATTGGTTGGTTGGTTGATCGAGTCGAATTGAATCGGCAAGATCGTGAGAGTAAATAATGAAAAGCGATTTTGAGACAGTTCGTCGTATATGTAGAGAAAATTAAAAACGTAACTAAAGTCAAGTGACAAGAAAGAGTAGAAAAACAACACGTGAAAATAACTTGACTGTAATTTATATTAAATATAACATTAAATAATACATATTATACATATAATTTATTATATATTTATAATATTATACTTTATATTGTATTATATGTATTATATACATACTACAGTAATGTCACTGACTTCC